AGAATTTGAACGGTTCCTAATGTGGCATATTATCGATGCTAAATACTTATATACTTCATATGTTACAGTATTTCTGAAGTCAACTACAGGTCTGATGGGATGATGTGAATTATGAACCTTAATAGTACCATGAATTTTGCTAAGGTTTTTAGTTTTCCTCAGTAAATTAGAAGAGAATGAAAAAATGGTTAGTTTCCGACCTGATGCTCCAGCCACCTCAGCCGTGATCCTCCTTGGATATGCTCATAATTTTGTCTGGAGTAATCCAATTTTTCCATAAATACTGTTGAATTGCTTTTTCAGACTTAAAAATTACTATATCATTGTTATTTCGATGATTATTCAGTGCAGAATTTTCAAGTTTCTTTAAGTTTCATTGGCTCTTCTCTTGTCTTTTCAGTATTAACGCACACTATGCTCTAACCTATTCAGGAGTTGCAACATCCACTGAGCTTAGCGCCACTTCTATGCTGGGTATGACATCTTCGGGTTTTAGATGACCTATTGTCCTAACTGTTACTTACAGATGATTTTTAACTGTTACACTTAACTTTCTTATTTAGATGCATCATATGATATGACTGCCATTTACTGGATGTTGTTTCGAATAATTTAATTTAACGTGTTCACATAACTTTGTTGTATAGTGAATAATTCTAAACTAGGAAGTTATGTGGCCACTTTGAAATTGTTGTGAGCAAGAAACTGTGCTCAAAATGTCATCTAGCAGATGATACTGTTGCACCCCATGCATTTATCTATTTATTTACCTAGGTATTCGATCTTAACATGTTTACTCTTTAGAAAACCTCGTTCTCCAAACCATTCTGTATATGATTTCAGAAAGAGTAATTGCGTAGTTTTCTAATATATGTCAACTGATATTCAGCTGAAGAAACTGGCAACCTATTTAGTAATTATGAATGTTCTGAAAATGGAGTTTCTACAAAACCGATTATTGTGCCTTGCAAGTAGATATCAAGAAAATCAAATGTTGGTTTTGTTCCCTCGTGTGTGTATGTGCGTTGAAATCCTAGCTGCTTGATTTTAGAAAGTTGACATCCTCCTCTCAGATAACAAATCATTACATTGTTATTATTATTATTTGTTACTTGGGTTCCTAGTGGAACACACTGCTTCAATAGCACGTCACCATTTCACTCTCTTCTCTCCAGTCATTTCAACCTGCCTCCACCACTGCCTTCCCATAAGCTTTCATTTCTTTCTCACATCATCTCCTCCATATCACCCTCGCCTCGGATGCCCAACTTGTCCTTTCCCATTTGAGTTTCACAAGCACTCCTGGACTGGCCTGTCACACAATGTCCCCAAACAGTTTTCTCAGTGTATGTCCAATCTAATCCATCTCCACTTTGTTCTTCTTCTTGACTACGTAATCTATATTTATTATATAACTCGAAATAACCAATGGTTGGTTTGACCAAGCTGAGTAAAAAACACCTGATTTAATTCTTATTCCTATGCTGATTCGTAACTTTTTCTTTTTAATAAGGAGGTTGGTTACTAGTGTTCACATTTTTCATCCCATTTAATGGGTACTCACTCTGTTGATGATGATTTAAATGAACTTTAATTCAAACAATATCTGCATATCAACTCTCGCACGTCTACGTGACCAATTAAGTTTTTCTAACAATAATGTTGCTACCGTCTTCTCATCTTGGTCTTCAATACATGCATATCTCTCACTGTATTGCATCATGGTATATATACTGAGTGACTGAAGGACAACCTAACAAATAATAAAATTCAACTGTTGCTTTGTAGAAATGTCTTGATTGGAAAATAGCTTTCATCACGACTTGATGGAAGTAGTAAATACTGAACTATTAGCTTCCAACCCAGTGTTTGAATGGTAATGGGCTCAAAGTGAATCTTGAAGGTCATTCAGTTGATCCCTCTTGAGGTCAAGGTGTATATTGTACACAAAATAGTCGCAAACTTAAGTGAAACGGCTGTTCAGTATTCCAAAGTTTTGAACGGCTTCCCAACTGATACTAATCCGTGGTAGCATTTGCTGAAATGGTAAATTCGGTTTTTGGTTTTATGAAAAACTGACTTTCCAATCAAAAGTAAGATACTTAATTCGTTATGTCAGATACTTGCTGGAGTGGTCTTAGAATAACTCATCAGACTGTCTGAACGACAAGTTCACATAAAGTACTTTTGTGTGAGCTACATAACATTTTCGGGAGTTATACTTGCATCAGGCTGCTTACTAAAGCTAATATAGCAATCCTTTTTGGCTGTCCTTTTAAGTCTTACTATAACCATGCTTCTGAACTGCTTGTAGTTACTAGATTGTGTGGACATACGAATTACTGTTCCTATTTTGGTTCAAAAGTTGGTGTAGATTTGACTGATTTCATGGTGCAGTTCATCACAAAATGATATCAGTCGTAAAAACCATCCAAAAACTGGGAGTGCTTCACAGTTATTTCGTTTTAGTGTGAGATTCTTCAGTGAACTTAACAGGAATCGGACCCAGGACCCTTAGGTTTTGCAGAGAGCAAATTACCGCTGAACCATTGATTCGGAATTCAGTGCTTCACAGTTTTCTATTTCTGTCAATATGCGATGTAGTGCAACCATCATACAATACCTTCGTTGAGTATTTGTCTTCATGCCTGACTTGGTTTTCCTACCGGGTCCCCATTTCTGATTGGAACTTCGCGAAATTTCATCTTGAAGCATTTCACCAAACATCGCAAGACAATATTTGAGTTATGATGTTGCATACTTCTGTTTGCTGATATTACTACTTGAGCTGACTAGTTCGGAAGACTGGTATTATTAATACGGTGTGATGACTGAAGGTAGCGTGGAAACCTAAGTGGCGGCAGGATTCAAACAAGCGGCTTTCGGACTGCTGATGTTTAACTCTCTCAGCCAAGGTACGTGATCCAGTTGCTTACCAGGTTTTAATGGGCCTTCAATAGGCAATGTCTTGCCTGTCTGTCACATGATTACATGATGTATAGTCGTTCCTTTATTGTAAACGTACTATCTGCCCAGTCAGATCTCATCCTAATTTAAATCGAGCTGGATCAAAGTGGGTTGAATTCTACCACGACCTAAGCTCTCATTTCATCTTCATACATCAATCCATAACCTAATTTTATATTGTGAAAATAGTACCGCAGAGTATTTAGTATGCTATTCCTTCTCATTGCCCTAGATGTTATGGCAGATGGATTCAAATCCAAACCACTGGACTGAATCAAGAGTAGTATGTGATATCAGTTGGTCAAGTCAAAGAATATGATTTATCAGGAATATAAGGGAAATGTAACTCTAAAGTTTGCAACGACTTTAGACACACAGAAATATTATCCCACTCGATCACAGCAACTTACTCCCACTCTTTCTCACTCTGTAATATTAGACACTATTCTTCTAATTTTGTTTCTTAGCATTTTTAATCTTGTTTTCTTTCTTAGTTTTCTAAAATGTGTTACGTGAAATTGTGTGCTGACGTATTATACTATCAGATATAACAAGATCGCCACACTTTCCCTCTACAGTTATTTGTTTATTGTACTTATCTCAGTGGAGCTGTGGCTCATTGGTTTAGAGAGATGATTTTCAGCCGATGGGTTATGAGTTCCAGCCCCGCTTCACCTATCGAGATTTAGGTAACAAGGTAGTATCATTAGCCCTCACACAAAAGGTGTAGCTCGTTGCCTACCACATGAATATGCACAAGGTTGCTGATTGCATTCTGACTGGCTTGTGTCATTTGGGAAATAAATTAGCTCACACCTAATGGTTTCCATTTCTTCACAGTAAGATTTCTTTAGACATCATGTCGTCAGATGAAATGACCAGCACTGTATATATCACTTTGTGCTTTTTTCACAGAAAAAATATCTTTCTGACATATTATGAATTAGTTTGACTGCGGTTTGGTAGACTTTTACTTATACTGAGTGATGATTGAAGGTGAAATGAAAATTTGGACAGCGGCAGCATTTGAACCAATAACCTTCAGACATACGGCCTGGTGCTCTAAGCTACGGGACAGTTTACATCAGGTAGGTGGTGCGTGCATCACAAACACTGCCACACGGTTGGTTGGTTATGGCTAGCAGAGAAATCCAGGATAAACGTTCCGTCCTATTTGGGACTCGTCAGCTGGGTGCGCCTGCACCTCAGTGAGTGATGTTGTTCTCACTGAGACTCGAACCTCGTACCCATCGCTCCAAACGCTAAGGCGTTATCCACTATGCCACGAAGGCACGATAGCCACATCTTGTACAACGGATAGCAGTTATTACTATTTATTGGTGTACTCGTAATTTTCCTTTGTTTTATTTGATCGAATTGTTCGACCCTTGTTGGTAAATGGACTCCTATGCGGATACCTCGATATTTCTGAATGTTAATTATGGTAGTTTGGTTGATTGAGACTAGCACAGGAATCCAGGACGCATTTTTCGTCCTATCTAGGACTCGTCAGCTGAATGTACCTGCACTCCGTGGCATACTGGATAACGTCTTAACATTTGAAGCGATGGGTACGTGGTTTGAATCTCAGTGGGGACATCACTCACTCGGGTGGAGGTACATCCAACTGACGAGTCCCAAATAGGACGGAATGTGCATCCCGGATTCCTCTGCTAGCCTCAACCAACCAAATTACCATAATTAACATTCAGCAATATCGAGGTATCCGCATAAGAGTCCATTTACCAACAAGGGTCGAACTATTCGATCCAATAAAACTGCTACATGGTTGTTCATGGAGATAATTAGACTATATATGTATTTTTTTTTTTTAATGCAGTTCCGCTTCTTGTGTATAACTCAATAAATTAAAGATATATTTGCAAATATTCAGAAGTCACTGTACAACAAGCTAAAATGAACATTGAATTTATAGAATATTAGCAGTTATTTAATTAAGTTTATCTGCACATTATCCTTTAAATAATATCATTTATTAGTTGGGAAACTTTTTTTCTAAGCATAATTCTTGCTCATATTTTGTATATTTGATGGATTGTCTGTTTATCTAAATTATTATGTGCTTGAAGTTGTAGATGTGAACTTTGTTCATCTTCTCGTTGTTGTAATCTCTGTAAACAAGACCAATTCTTCTCATTTAAATGATGATAATGATGATTGTCACCTTCTTCAATATTCTTATTGATCAATAAATCATCTCCAGTATATCTTGTAGATAATGAAATGAAGTTGTCTAGTTTATTGCCTTTTATATTAACTTTTGACGATTGTATTCTATGATTATCAGGTTGTCTTAATAAGTCAAAATTTTGACTTGTTATACTATTAGTTATATATGTATCATTATTATTCCGTGTATTCTTTGAATGATTATCAAAGTATGTTAAGCAGTTCAAATTGTTTACTACTAATGATTTAATATTGCTGTTAATGATTGTATTTTTTGTGTTCAGGTGATCAGTTTTCATGTTGTCATCAGCAATGATGGTACATTTACTATTTGTTTGTGTTATTGTTGAAGTCGTGACAGCAGGTAATGTCAAGCTGGTGTTATTACAGTTATTACTACTACTGCTATTATGATTATTATTATTATTATTATGAAAAGATTTTGTTGATTTCTGTAGGTTAATTGTTTAATTCGCAGTTTTTCTTCACGTCTCCATTTTGCTCGCCTGTTAGAAAACCATACTTGTATACGTGGTTCAGGCAAAAGTATTCGACTGGATAACTTTTCACGTGAAAAGACATCAGGATAATGCGTATGTTCAAACTCTAAAATGAATAATTATCATAGCTGTATTGATAATACGCATAGTTAAAAAATAGGATATTACATAATCGTCAGTTAACGAAGATACTACAGAGACTTATGAATTATCGTATTAAGCTATCGATTAAGAGTTATTTGACCGCCTATGATCTTCCTGATTGTAGTGGACTGGTTCATCCAGCAAACTGTGAGGAGCAAGAATACGGGCATACGCTGTTTGACCGATGAGAAGACCCCCACAAGATTTATATTTCTCGGATGCTCATTTATGTCTGATGTCTTGTCACACAAACTTGAAGATCTACAGGCAAAAACCAACAAGCTGACAGAAGAGACAGGGAAGATGTGATTTCAAGTGAACGTACAGAAGATGGAAGTGACAAAGATACCGAACCAACAACAACAAGCACCGATCGCCACCAACGAGAGAAACTTAAAGGAAGTAGTCTCTTTCACCTACCTGGTCAGCATCGTTTCAACTACAGGCGGCACAGGCGCAGATGAGGATGTCAAAGCCATGATCGGAAAGACAGCAAGACAGGCTTTCATTGATGTGAAGTCAGTGTGGGGATCTACTGCACTCAGTACAAGGCGTGAACAACATCCGGATTTTCAATACTAATTCATTCAAGTTAGTGCTTCTGTGTGATGACTGAGAGACTTGGTGAGTTACAAAAAGTATTTCCAACAAACTACAGACATTCATCAACAGCTATCACCTACACTCCTTCGATACTGAAGATTAGATAGCCAGAAAGAATAAACATCAAGGAACTCTGGCTGGCTGGCAACGAATCATCCACGAAGCTTTCACCCAACAAATATGCAGAAGAATGTGGAGATGGATTGGGCATACACTGAGAAGACCGTTTGGGGACATTGTGTGCCAGGCCAGTCCAGGCGTGCTTGTGAAACTCAAATGGGAAAGGACAAGTTGGGCATCCGAGGCGAGGGTGATATGGAGGAGATGATGTGAGAAAGAAATGAAAGCTTATGGGAAGGCAGTGGTGGAGGCAGGTTGAAATGACTGGAGAGAAGAGAGTGAAATGGTGACGTGCTATTGAAGCAGTATGTTCCACTAGGAACCCAAGTGATAAATAATCATAATTACCATGGTTTCAAGTACACTTCACATACTTTATTAGAGTCTACTGATTACGCCCCCAACTACTCACAAAAATATTTCCCACAATTTACTGTATAAGTTTATCTTTCTTATTTCTTTTCACATTTATAGTAAACGGATAACAAACAGTCTATTTTGAAAACTGGCCTTGTCAAGTAGTTTCAAGACAATTCATATTCACAATCAAAGTTGGATTTATAATAAGTCAGAAGGAAAGGAGTTTGAATACAAATAATTATCCTTTCTTTTACAAGGATATAAGTCGTTAACTTATAAATATTCCATGTTAAATTAATATCGCTTACCTCTTCCTGCACTTGCCTCGGTTATACTTTCGAGCAGAACAACAAAGAATGACAGTGAATACGCTTACCACATTAGTGAGTTTATCAATACAGTATAACTTCTTTGTGTGTAACTAGAGTAAAGAGATGAAATAACACGCAATACCTAAATTTATACGTAACTACTAGCCATATATGTTAGTAACCCCCAAAAATTACATTTGTGAGGCTTTAATCATATGTTCTAACACTTTTCCTCACATAATATACTTGCTAGGTAAGGTGCAGTCAAGCTCTTGTATTTAGCTGTACAAGCATACAATTTTATGTAATTTCTTCTTTGTCCTCCCTGAAGAGTTACAAGGAGAGAGCTGTGAGTACAGTGGATGCACTGTGTCACTTAAAACTATCATAACTAGTTCCCTGATATAATTTAAAATATCTGTCAACTAGTGTTAATCAGCTGAGCCAGTGGTACAGTGCTTGCCTCACTGACGGCTTTCAACTCCCTACACAATAAAACATCATCCTCTTTTAGCAGACCAGGAACGATCAGTCGGAAACAATACAGAATAATATGTAAAATGTAGGAACTAATTGATTGTAAAGGTAGGGGCTGAGTTATACTAGAGAGTCTCAGGTTTTTTATGTTACACACTAAACACAATATTTTCTTGGAAGTCAATAAGATATGAGTCGACCAACAAAGATTAGAAGTAAAAATCAATTTAAGATAATTAGCACTCGATTTACTTTCTACAGCAATGCCATCAATATATAATAGGAGTCATGGAACCTAAGCAACTCACACAAGTCTTGTTTGCGCCTAAGGCTAAAAATTAACACTGACGTTTAGAAGCGTTTAGCATGAGACCATTTGTGAAAGACCGCTGACCAATTTCAGACAAGAAACGGTTCAATTCATAACAGTCCAAGTGAGAGTTAACTGATACATAAACCGTCAAGTCGTCAGCATACTTAATAAAATTAGTTTCCTCAGAATGGGGTATGTTATGCAAAAAGAAGGAAAACAGAAACGGAGAAAGTACTACACCTTGACGTATTTATTAAGCAATAAAGTAGAGCTCTTCTCTTTATAAACAGTATAAAGTTTTCTTTCAGAAAAGTAAGAAAACAGCCACTTAGTAACCTGTGACTCAATATGAGCAATGGAAAGCTTGCTTAACAACAGTGGTCTTGGAACAGAGTCAAAAGCTGATGAGTAGTCCAAGAAGGCACAGCGAACATACTTAGCACTTTTGTTTAAACTAGAAACATTATTATGATGCAAGACAGTGGTATCATCTAAAGTACTTCTCCTGCGTTTGTAAGCGAATTGTTTCGGATCTCTGAAAGCCTTCAATGAAGATTCAAGCATAAAATGAAGTAATTTCTCCATTGTCTTCAAAAAATGGGCAGTCATAGCATTGGGTGGACACTTAACATCTGATCCGGAAGATGACTTAGGTAGAGATACAACTATAATCTTCTTCCGAGAGGCGCGTATTACATTTTTGGAAAAGGATACATTGAAGATATCTATAAGGGGTATGACAAGATATCTAAACATTCTCTAAATATAATATTTGAAACACCATCAGGACCTAGGCTTTGGGATGGGTTCAAGGCATTTAAATGGGTCGTTTGTATTAAAACCAGGAAAGTAACTTTCCATTTGACTAAGGGCACTAGGTAGCGTGAAATCAGACTGCCGATACATAAATGACTGGTTCAACGCACGGACAACAGAACAAGCTTCTTTTGTCATCCTTTTTCAACTAGTAAGCTTTATGAATAATGTCCATATATTGGAAGACTTCTTACACGATAGAAACTCCCAGTTGTACACGGTATACAGATGTTGCATTTCTTACTTAATTAGTGAGTTAAGTGTTTTAATGTCAGGATGATCTCTCCCTTTTTTCTCCGGAGCCTCTTGATCCACGGAGAGGAAAGTGTCAAATCTCATGAAGGTTGTTTTAGCAGAGTAGTATATATCGACACACAATCTGCGAAAGCTCGTAGTATTGGTTATAGTGTTATCTAGAACTCTGTCAACAAGCACATCCCAGTATGTTTCTTTAAGCGTGCTTCTCAAACGTAGTATATCCTCCTGTGACTTTCTCCTAGAGTTTATTGGAAAGGTGCCCAAAAGCCTTCTTATGCAACTTACCAGACACTTTGAACAAAACGTGTACAATGAAGTGGTCAAAATTCAGTAGTGGAGCTCATTTACTGACTTCATATGTGCCAAATCCATTTGTGTATTGTCAAGACCAGTAAAAAAGTTAACCATATTTTCATGACCCAATGATGCAAAGAAACTGTAGTCACATGAATCAAAACCTCCACAGACTATAGACAGAGTTATCCAGAATCTCAATAGTAAATTCAGTGAATTCGTCAGCAAAAGTTGATAAATCTGAGAAACTGTAATCACTTGTGGCATAAATGTTTGATATGTATATGTGTTTGTATTTACTTAAAGGATTAAAACGACATGGAATGATAATGCATTCAGTTCTGTCGTTGGAGAAGCTGAAGGACAAATAGTTGCAGGTTGATAAGGTTTTATTGATGAATTTTGCTACATCCGTTGGTGAGCCCCCGACACATTTCTTCTGGGGAAAGTATCGATCTTGTTGAAATAACTTGGAACCATTTAAACAAACTAAATCATCGTCAAATACGTTATGAAGCCATGTTTTCTGCAGTATTATTACGCCCGTATTCCGATAAACATTTGTTGATTGAAGTGACTGAAGGTAATCAACTTTATTCTATAAAGACCTGCAGTTTGCGCTAAGTACTTCTGGGATAGTCATTTGACCCATGGTCATATGCTCAAAAGCTCGTTGCCATTCACAATGATGCTTTTGTTTATGGTGAGGGATATTTGTAGCTCAGGTGGATGGTCTTGGTTGTATTGTGTTCTCTGAGCTGAGTTGTTTAGTCGTGGAGTTTTCATCGTCTTTCTAGACGACATCATCAGCACTAACTTCAGTACTAAGTCTCTATACCATCTTTTTTAATGATGACAAAAGTATCGTCTACATAGTGAATCCAAATTTTTAGTTTAATCACAGGTAGAATGATGGCTTCCAGTCGCTTCATCACTGCTTCTCCAATACGTCTGGATATTGGTGACCCCATTGGAGTTCCTTTCAAACTTGAACATTTAAGTTTTGTGCGTTCTGAAAGGCTTGTGTCTTCAGTGAGCTGAAGGGATATAGTTCCTTTGGCCAGTTGGGGTTTCATGGGAGTGTACAGTGATGCGATATCGAAGGACACCATTAATTCGTCTTTTTCTATCTTAGTGCTTTTGATCTTTTCTAAGAATTCTGTTGGTGATTTGATCGAATGTCCACATGATTGAACAAGGTATTTCAGTTTTCTCGAAAGTTCTCTTGATATGTCGTATGTTGGAGTTCCGGAAAGTGAGACTATTGATCGTAGAGGGATGTCTGGTTTATGTAATTTTAATCTACTGTAGAACCGAGGTAGGATAGGTCCGTTCGATTATATTTGCCATTTGTCTTGCTTTATTATCTCTTCTGCTTTGAAGAGTTTGTTCAAGGTTTAATTGATCTGGTTGTCGAACTTTTGGATAGGGTTGGTTTCAAGTGGTTGATATATGTTTTCGTCTTTGAGTAAATCTTCTGCCTTCTTGATGTAGTCTTCTTTGTCCATGACTACCTTAGTGCGTCCTTCGTCTGCTGGAAGTATAACGATATCTTTCCTATTTTTCAGTCAGCTCAGAGAACACAATACAACCAAGTTGCTTTTTCTTAATTTGCCTATCAACTTGTAGGGCGATAGGTTCTGATATCTAATATCTTTTTAACGAACTTGTGTAAACCAGCCGATTTCTTTGTGCTCGCTTCTGGGTCTTGTGGAACAGTTCCAGGCCTTTGGCGGATTCCTATTCAGTAGATCCAGCCACTCAGTCACTGATATACACAGCAGATGGTTGGGTGTTTTTTAGTTTGACTTGGACTGTGGTGTAGCTGGGTTTTTCGGATGTGGAGTTGCCAGGCAGGTGTTCGCTCTGATCGATGAATGAATGATTAAAACAACATAGAAAGGAGAAATTTGATACAATATATTCCATGGTAAAATGATTTAGCCCAAAGTTCAAGTAGGCTACAGGTTATAGATATCATATGCCACTTTTGTTTTAAAATATGTAATATATTCACGGATATAAGCGTTAATGTTATTGAAAAGTCTAAATTAATCTTTCCAAACAAGAATTAAATCCGTATGATGCTTATTTCATCCACCTATCCACTCCAAATTTTTTTAAAATTTCACCTACATCCTATAGAAATTATTTAAATTGAAGAATATTAAAAAGTAATCGTGGGTAGTGACTGGCAGTGAAATTAAGGATCCCATAGATAAGATCGAGACATTCGGGTTCGAAACCATTGGTGAAGAGAGGCCTACCAATTCAGTCCAACCAACGACGGGAAATTATGAGTAGTAACAAGAAAAATATTTATTCAGTCACATTTTTAATTCATAAAATATTCTAGTTTAAAATCAACCTAATTGATAACTCCTTAATATAAACTTAAAGCTTGATCTTGTAAATTTCTTTGAGACAATCCCTTTTATTATCCTGATTTCGTCCATTTTATTCTTCAAATCAGCATTAACTCTTTAAAGTGATAACTTTTGAAGTTTATTTTTCACTTCTGGCAAATCACTGTCTAAAATTGCTTTGAATGTCTTGTAACCCGGTGGTCCCTAGTCCGAATCCTGCAGCTTTCAAAACTTTCAGTTTATCTTCAACCATCACTCAGTATCAGTACAAGATGTACCAAGTCAAAAATAATTGAGATAGTCTAACTGATAATCGATACGATGCTCTCCTACTCTAATTCAAGTAAATTTGGATTTAAATGAGAAGTCTTGACTGGCCAACCAGTGTGACTACGATCAAGTGATAGTAACGTGTCACGAATTCACTTAGTGGTGGAGCAAAACCCTTGTCGATTGAATTGAAATAAAAATCTGGTCAGCAGTCTGGTCTCTGTAGCTCAGTAGTGATAGAGCACTGTGGAGGTGACCCGGTTGTCACTGGTTTGAATCCTGTCTGATCCAGACTTTCATTTCACCTTCAATCATCACCCAGTATCTACATTAGGCTTGTTTATTTGATATAGCAAACAGTAACATGATGTAATTTACTTGCTGACATTTCGAGTATAAATTATTGTTCAATCATATCATGTTTTACACTTATATTAATCTTATCGTTCAATAGTAAATGTTTTCTAACAGTATTCAGCTTGCCTTATACTTTAGCCATCCTACATTATTAGTGACAATTACGTGTTCAACCAGTTTTTAGTCTGAATGTATATATTATTATAAATCAGGGTTGGTTTACAAAATAGTTCCTGATATTTAGTTACACAGAGTGCCTGAATGAAGCGTAATACCTCTTCAGCTTTAACGTCTTCTTTGCTTCTTTCTTTAATACATATCGGCTGATAAAAATTATCTTCAAAATAAATATATCATCAAAAAGATCTTTTTGGGTATTATTAGTAAATTAAAATAAAAACAGGTTTCCTAACCTCTTTCAAGTTCTTCCAATTGAAGGTTCGAAAAAGAAGTACGACTACGTTGTTGTTGTTGATGATGATGATGATGAGTTTTCTGTTTACTACTTTGTTGTCTCTCATCAATTGAATCAATCTGTGATAAATTAGCTTCACTCAATACAGAATTTGGTCGTTCATTTAGTTCAGACTTTGGGCTAACCGATGATACCGATTTTACAACCATATTATTATTGTTATTATTATTATGCTTGTTCAGTAATTTGTCTGTTAAATCAGAAGTACTTTCTTCTGAATTATTCAATGTTCTCTTTTTAATGCTTTCTCTTAACTGTTGTAAATTGTTTGAATGTAATGATTCCATAAATGTTTCTGGCGCATCAGTTAATTCATGATATATATGTGTGTTCAAGGGATTCAACGTTAAACTGTTGTTGTTACTTGGGTTGATTTCATTAGTGGTAGTTATACTACTATTATCATTATTATTTGCAGTATTGTTAGTGAACCGTGTAAGAATATGCATATTCTCGAGTACTGTTGATGTTGTTATCGATTGTGCTGTTACTGTTGCTGGTGTCAGTTTATTATGATTTCTGTCTGAAAACTGATTCATTTGACTTAATCTATCCGTATAGTGTTGTTGTGGCTGTTGTTGTTTTCCTTGTACTTGATCATTTTGTTGTTCTAAATCTTTTTGTTTCAACTTTCTAGTGAAATGATCACTAAATTGTCGTTCAAAGACTAATGGAAGTGTTTCTCCTAAAAAGTAGAAAAAAAACTTGTTTTAGAAAACTGATGAAAAAATACATATCAGTGTTACTTTGTTTTACGTTTTAACTGGAGGTGTAGTTCAGTGGTTTTATGGACTTTAGGCGTCTTATGATGAAATCAGTTTTATAAACTCTCTTCAACACAGACAAGTAGTTTTACTGACGTTCATTAACGATGAACAGCTTCTTGTCTAGAGAAGTTTATATATACATACCAAATTTCTTATTATTATCTCACAAGACCTCCAGAGAAGTTTGTAACGTCCCATTGTCTTTAACTTACAGAATCATATACCGTATGCGTGTTCTATATGAATCAGGAAACTTCGACAGAACTACTTACATTTTGATTGCAGTAGACCGGTAAAGTGTTGACTAGTTAGTATCTTGGTTAGCCAAATAAACAAGCTTTACATATATGAGATCCTAAAATCTATCATATAATCTCTCGGATGCTAGTCTTTTGCGATAGGTAAAACTGCTCTCATTTGTTATTTCCACGAAATACGCACCCTACATAGTTCTTCACTTTCATAGAAAGTTTTTTTTAATTTGTTTTATTGACCGTCCTCAGAACTCTGAGCAACACTGCGTTATTTTGAAAATCACTAAGACTAGTAACTTCTGGTTTGAGGTGGTGCTTATCCTTGTGTAACACTATTACTCAGTGTGAAATGCTGGATCGAGTTATTCGTCTCTTATGTTCTACCATGTTAGAGTGTTACGTTGAGTAGTGGGAAGTTTTAAAACATTTACAATCACTTGGTAAATACCTGATGCTAAGGTGATCGTTCGAAGGTGAAGTTGTACTCTCGACTACACTCAGTATTATACCAGTAGATTACTTTCTGAAGATAAAGAGTATTGCAAGATGATGATGTCTCACCTTAAGGGAAGTAGGGGTTAGAAAATGTAGACCTAACAGGTCACATTCTTCGTTGCTCCAGGGACTTATGATACCTGCGATAATAACTTCCCTCCAAGTATGAACCTTAAACAATTCGATTTGAAATAATAAAACCGGTAAGGCCTTTTATGACGTCAAGTAGATGTTCATTCAGCTTTGCATTAAAACCCTAGGTCAATATAACTGGCCTTAAAAATCCATCTTCGACTTCAGTTGTTTCAACAAGAAATACCATTCTTCCCACACTATGCGAAATAGACTGCTAATGGATATGAAGAACTGTAAACCAATCACACGGATCAATAGTGCTCACTAGCTGAATCAAGGCGATTTAAACACCTGACGGCCGTTTAGCTCTTATGGGACTGGCATCACAATAAATGCAGAAGGTTTGTTGAGACCATCCAAATTCCATCTAGCTTCTTGAGAAAATTGACCATAACAAATGAAATCAGTACTTGCACAATACAAAGTTCATGATGAGATACTTCATTATGGTTTCCTATGGAAACCAACATATTCAGATCACATAGTATAATCTATTTAACATTATGAATCGCACCAAGTATACAAGAATCAAAGCTGTACGAAGTATACTGCTGACTAAGTGGATTAATTGTAGACCAATTACGCATGCACATACCTGATGCCAGCTGTATTTCTTAATCTGTAAGTCACATTCAATTCCAGGGATTCAGAGTTTTATTGTGATGTTTTTCACTGAATCAGATACTGGGTAATTTCAGATTATATACCCGAGCATATATGGCAGTGTTCGAGCCTTTGACGAATAGGTGAGTTATTTCCCCATATTAGTATTTATCAATGCTGTCCCCTGTATTCATTTTATTCCACTTTATCATATATATACTTACGGAGGTCTTTCTCTAGAATTCGTTCCACTCCACTTAAGTACGAACAGTTGCTTCATGATCGGTCTGTATCAAGAATTCCTCTTGTGAAATGGTAAAACCCGTTGATCAGTTTACTTGCTTTGAAAATTCAATAAGCTTTACTGGTTTATTGGAAAACGAAGTATTTGCACCAAAGCAAAATTTCCAGCTATGTTTTACCAATTCACACATTCTGTAGTCCAGGTGAGATAATGGATTAACTAATAAGAGTAAAGTATACGAAAGTTTCCTCTTCTTTACTATGTCGCTATGAAACATGACTATTTAGGGTGGGAAAATGAGACATCTTCAGCTGCTCAACCGCCATTGACTTCGTAGCGTTACCCAGGTGTTAAGAAACCGATGTTCTATTGATGTAGAAGTTAGGTGTATGATCTTAGGTAATAGAGGTAACTCGTTCGATAAAATCATCTGAAGCGGCTGTGACATGCGTTACAAATGCCTAGTCATAATCTGCGCCTACAGGGGACTTCAGCTAAAATAGGTTTCGGTTGAAAAAATGCTGAAGCCAAATAAACTGAAACGTTACATCAGTCCATGATTCCTCCGATTGTTCTTGTGATCCATGTGGGGCAATATATAATCTCTGGCTGAGTCCATACGATGACTGGAATTGGTAATTGGAGACTTGGTGAGTTAACTAAGAACCAGTCACAATAGTGCAGGTGTATCCTGATGCTATACGCATCCTCACCACTTTATTGCATATTCTTATTTAATTCACCCAATCTTCTTCGCTTCGTATCACTTTATACGACTTTTTACCATTTTTCCTTCTGTTTCCCCATACTCTATCTTGTTGCTCCGTCTCTTGATAGACTGGTGTCAGATATGTGAACTTGAGTTGGTGTACAGTAATATCATGTTTCATAGTGACTGCTAAACTAAATGCCATAAACTTATTTTAGAAGACTACCTGATGTTAGTTGGATGGAGGTAAACAAGGGAAAACCTTGCACATACTTTCCGCACTTTCTTGGTACTTGTCAGCAAATCATATCTAAAACCTCTATGAAATTGATATCAGAAGTGGGATTCAAACCCACGTCAGTCAGTGCTGCAGCCAGAGACGTTATCATTGAGCTTTTTGGGCCTCTGATGACTTCCTGTTGAACTGGATTAGACACATTGACTAGTAAAAAGACTAAATGAGCGAAGAAGAATATTCCTTTTCAATTAGGTCTTCATCTTAGGCTCTACACTAATACATAGGTTTACAATTCAGTCAAAATACCAGTCAAATGGTGAAGGTTGGCAGACAATAATCTACAGGTCAATACACTCACTTCCTTAGTCCCATACCCTCGAATAAATAAGGAGCCTGGTGAAATGTCAACCATACCGCATCACAGGTATTTGCTTAAATGAGTTCGCCACCATCCATGACCTGCTTAGTAGGAATAACTCTCCTACGAAGTTTGTAACTAAGCATATGATTGTTACGAAGGTTTAAACTAGAACGTCAAGAGTTCCCAAGAAGCAATTCTTCTTGAAGCTGGAATTTAAGAGTAACATTACCAGTGAGATCATCATACAACGCATAAAACATGCCTTATAAAAAACATTCCCAGTCGGTAAATTATGTTCCGTCTTCTACAACCGCGCAGTTCTAGGTGCACGAAATGAAGACAAACTGTCTAATTCTGCCGCTTCCTTGTTCATTTATCAGTTCGAAAGCTCCTATGGAGCTAGTTACTTTGGGCGTAGAATAAGGCAGATCCATCGTCAAATTTCCGATCACCATTCATCATGGTTGAGCAAGGAACAAATTAATACAATAAAAGGCTCCATACTTGCACACCTAGTTGACATGAGACATCAAGTGGATACTAGAAAAGCATTTAAAATTATTCATCACATACTAATTAATTTACCACATGCATTACGCACTCGCTTACTTCACATAGTATAGGCGATTTCAGTTCACCTTTATAAACCAAACCCTTGTATTCAAAACAAGTTTGTTCGTGGCCGTCAACATTCATTTGTACAACTCTTCCCCCCCCCTTGTTTCTATCAATATTCAAAATGTAACCCAGTCCTAAAGGAGGTTAGCTGTGGTCCGAATATCTCAGTGGTGAAGTCGTTGACTATAACACTGGGTAGTGCGGGTTCAAACCTTAGGCGGGACAGCAGGTCTGTCGAGGTTGCAGATACGCCTTGCTGTTGAGTGCCAAATGATCACTAAACCCAGGTCCAGGGCTTCCTATCGACCAACTAACATCTACTAATCTACCCCGAGATGCTGAACCTCCTAGCTTGGTAGCCATATTGCAGATATGATCTATAGGATTCAGTCTGCACTCAGGTCTAGACAACATAAAATTGGTTGCTCTCCGGTGACTAGTCAATATTCATTTGTCCTCCCATTATTACGTAATTTAATAAGCTATGCATTCACGAATTACAGTTTAATCAATGACCATCGAAAAAAACACTTTCCTCGCTGCAACCACATCTTGTCTTTTCCTATGATCAAATGGGTGTATTCCGCTACTATGTGATTATTTGCTGTTTATGACTTACCACTCGGTAAAAAACACTCCATTTACTCTACCAGTTACTATGCAACTTACCTAAGAATAACCTGCTCCACATTACCAATTTTAATTAATCTACTGATTATTTGCATCTTAATTTTTAAAACTTATCGTCTTCATGACCTACTTACGTATTGTTCACAAACCCCTCACCACCACTTGATTGGTATTTATATGGAATTGTAAAACTATACATTAGTGTAGAGCCAAAGAGGAAGACCTAATTGAAAGGAAACGTATTTCTTCGCTCAATCGGTCTTTTTTTCTAAATGTCTAAATTGGAATATTCAATGTACAATGATTGGTCACTTCCTCATATATTTCACCGCATCATACTGTGTGTGTGTGTGTGTGTGTGTGTAAATCTCTTATTTGCTTATATCTTTATAAAATGTGAAAGTTTAATCTGTGTAGGTAATTTGTAATGAATTAGGAGCAAATAATCTCCTACATCATATTTGTAAGATTCATTGAACAAAACAGCAAACTTCTACATTAATGATGGACAGCAGCTAACAGCTGAATCCAGGAAGTACGTTTCGTCATTTGAATGTACATACCTTCCAAGTGAATGGTGTTGTTTCTACTAAAACGAAAAGGACGATCTAGACTCTACTGCTAGCCACTGTCTACCATCAATACTAAAACTGGAAACATCAACAATATCGAGGCTTCCGCACAGGTGTCCATAAAGTTATAGTGGCTGATCACTTTGTTCCAAGCAACAATGGTAAATTACAGGGTTTAATATCAGAAGGAGCCCATATGCTAACAGAGGTGGAGCAACTCGGCCTTGTATAGCAACGGGAAATCACAAGTAAGATTACGACATTAATTAGTATAGTTAGTACTCATATACTAGCGGTTTCCAAAATGCAATGAAATTAATATTAAGCAAACACAATTTGCTCATTCTCATAAGACTGAACTCAACTATAGACCTACTTGTTGAAGGTAACTGGTCATTTTCTGGGAAGCTATCGCCACATGACATAATATTTCCATTATTCACAGAGTTTTTACATGAGAAACTTGTCCTCCTAATTTTTCCTTTTGTATCACTTATTTCTTTATGATATAAGTTTGTTTGTAAATTCACACTCATATTCTCTGTGGAAGTTGTTGATAATGACTGGTTTATATGACTTTCATGATTACGTGAAACGCTTGATCCTGAATTAACTGTTGTGTTGTAGTTTGCTTCATCTTCCACACAGTCATCATCATCATCATCACCGTCATCATCATCATCATTATCTACCCCCAGTTCTGTATTATGCATTCTATGATCTTCTCCTATATGAGTAAACGTATGCCCATCCATCCTCTGCATATCTCTACTCATTAAGTAATGATGTAAATTCGCATTAATTGTATCATTTGAATGTGGTTGAACAAACGTTTCACCATGCTCCTGCATACTACTAATATTTTCGTAAGTAAACAAAGGATTTATTGAGAATTTTCTTATCTGTCTATCGACTTTTTCATTTTCATCTATATTAGATATGAATTGTTTAAACTCTTCTGTTTCAGATTTAAATAAACTTTCGTTAAGTCTTTGAATAGTTTCATGCTGTTGATGAACATTCTGATGTTGACTATGTGGTTGGTGATGACTGTGACAATCAAATGACCAGTTAGCATCTAATTTCGAGTTGTAATGGCAAGATAATCTTGATTGATGAGTAGCTGAATTATTGTTGTTACTATTATTATTATTATCATTATTATTATTATTATCATATGTTGTTAGTGGATTGTGTGATGCTTGCTGAGAGGCTAAGATTGGTACTTTCCCTTGATTGTGCTGAGGTGATGATTCATTCCTGTTACGATCACCAAGTTCACTATGTGATGTATTCATACCACCGGAACATTTAACACCAAAATTGCTTTCATTTACTGAATTAACTACATTCTCAAGATTCTGATAAATTCCCGGAAATCTACATTGATTTAAATAACTTATTGATGGAGAAAATTGTCTTTCTTGAAGAAAGTCATTTTTTTGATTTATATTTGATGAAGAATATAAACTGGAATAGACACTGTTTGCTGATGCAGCTGCTGCAGAATACCAAGCTTGAGCCCATGAACTCTGTGTTCCACTAGATGAACCAGATATGAATAAATCATTAAATTTATCATAAGCTAAACGTGTTTGTTGTGAGTTGTTATGGTTAAGATTCGATGGTAAAGTTTTGTTTATACTACTGCCTGTTTGAAAATAAGTGGAAAGTGTAGGTGAATGCATACTCTGATTATGATAAACTCCATTATTATTTGTATGTAAATTTGAGGTATGTGGAAGAGTTGAACAATTATCAATAATATTCTGTTCATTGAAACAAACAGATGAATGTCTGTTGACATTTGAACTTTGTTGGTTATATAACTGGGGTATTGTAGGTGGTGGTACAGGAAATAAATTACTACTACTATTATTATTATTATTGTTAACATTATTACTATTCGAAACATGATATGGAGTAAAATTAAACATTGATGGCATAAATGATTTTGTTAGACCATGTAGATCACATTTCATATTGGATAAATAATTATTTGTTGAAATATTATGATTTGAATGAACTGTATTAATTCCTCCAGTTGGATTAATACAATTCCTATGTGCAGCAGCTTGTGCAGCTACAGCGGCTGCAGCAACAGCAGCTGCTGCTGCAGCAGATGATAATTGTCTTTGAGATTCATTGGACAGATTACGAAGAACTCGGTTGATTGAAGAGACCTGTACAAAACATTTTAAAAATAAAAAATGATGAGCTAATTAATTATTAGTAGTCCATAACACTATTTAACCTTGCCTGGTTAACTAGTTCACTAGTTACTAGCCGGTCCTAAGCCCGGGTAAAGAGGGAAGGTTAGGCATAGGGATAGCAACCCTACACCGTAAAACAAATTTAACCACTAAAGAAACTTCAAAGCATAAACGATATATAAAAAATAAAAACAAACTTATTCCTCTCTGGAATCGGAGAGGCGAAATGACGCCAGTTGGTGAAAGCCTTCGGGAAGCCAGTTGGCCGATGTGTCTTCTCTCCCTCGATGAAAGCGAAAGTAAACGTGGGGACATGGAATGTCCGCACCATGTTTGAACCCAGTAAGGCAGCACAGATTGCAAACGAGATGAAGAGGTATAACATCGAAGTGCTTGAAATTTGCGAAAGCAGATGGAATGAGAGTGGACTCTCCAAACTGTCAACTGGAGAATCAATAGTCTACTCCGACATTGTCACCCAGACGACAACCACGAGCACACTGAGATTTGGAGTGACTATCATGATGTCCCCAAGAGCATCGAAGGCTCTCCTACAGTGGGAACCAATCTCCTCATGCAGGATCATGACAGCAAGATTCAACTCAAAAGGAAGGAAGGTCACAAGCATACGATGCTACGCTATGCACCTACAAATAATGCAGAGCAAGAGAAGAAGGAGGAATTCTACAGACAACTCCAATCAACACTGGACAAGACGTCAGTTGGCGATATCAAAATTCTAATGGGGCACATGAATGCCAAACTGGGAGGGGACAACACAGGAAGAGAACTAACCATGGGTCGAGAAGCACTCGGTGAGGTGATGAACGAGAATGGAGAACTGTTTGCAGAATTCTGTGCATTCAACGATTTGGTGATTGGAGTCAGGCAGTGTATTGAAACACAAAGATATCCACAAAGCGACATGAATTCGAGTTCACCAGATGGACACACTAAAAATCAAATCGACTTTGTCTCAATCTCAAGAAAATGGAGACGCAGTCTACTTGACACAAGGTGAAGAAGAGGAGCAGATGTAGGTTCAGACCACTATCTAGTGCAAGGAACCTTCCAAATCAAGTTAAAAGTCTTCAAGGAAGCTGGTGATAGACCACAGTTCAAGCACAACACTCGGAAACTGAAGGATGAAACTACAAAGGAAATCTTCACGTCAGTCAGCCATCAAGACAAAATGGGAGATATCAAGCAACATCCCTGAAGAAACCTGTGTGGAAGAAAAAAAAAAAAAAAAAAAAAAAAAAAAAAAAAAAAAACACAACCGTATTAGGAAGGAAGAAGAAAGAAGACAAGAAATGAATCTCAATGGATACCTGGAAGCTGATAGAGCTGGGAGAGGAGGATGGTGAAACAGAAGATAAACCAGTGCAAGGATGCACAACGACAAGAGGAACTGAGCACAATGTATAAAACACTACACTGGACAAAGAAGTGAAAAAGAGTGCACGGAAAGACAAAAGACACTTCTACGAAACACTGGCAAGTGAAGCAGAACAGGCTGCAGACTGGTGGGAGAGACCTGACAACATTGTATCAAATTACCAGGTTGCTGTCTATCTGGAAGAGATCAACACAGACAAAACCAATAAAAGATGATGACGGAAATTTAATTACGAGAGAAGAGAAACAAAGGAAACAATGGGCCGACCACTTCAAGAAGCTCTTGAATCGACCACCACCACCAACTGCACTTCGTCCACAAATACCACCTGCAGCCCAGCCACTGAACTACAAGTGGACATAAATCCTCCAACAAAAATGGATGTCCTGAACGCCATAAAGCTACTGAAATGTGGGAAAGCAGTAGGACCAGATGGAATCCCACCAGAAGCACTGAGAACAGACACAGAGACAACAGCGGATATGCTCACACCACTATTGCAGAAGGTGTGGAAGGAAGAGAAGGTACCTGGCCACTGATTGGAAGAAGGGTTACCTTGTCAAACTCCCGAAGAAGGGGGACCTCAGTGTTTGCAAGAACTGGCGAGGAATCACTCTCCTGTCCACCCAATACAAGCAAAATATTAAGCCGCATCATCCTGGAGAGACTAAAGGATGCACTGGATTCAAAACTACGTCCGGAACAGGCAGGCTTCAGGAAGTACAAATCATGTGCAGACCAAATTGCAACTCTTCTTATCATCATAGAACAGAGCATAGAATGGAAATCAGCTCTCTACCTCAACTTTATCGACTTTGAGAAGGCCTTTGACAGCATCGACCGAGAAGTAATTTGGAAACTGCTTCATTACTACGGAATACCGCAAACCTTTATCCGCCCCATTCAACAACTATATGAAGATGCCACATGCCAAGTAATTCACAATGGGAAGCTCAGTGATGCTTTTGAAGTGAAGACAAGAGTAGGAGTGAAACAAGGTTGCCTACTATCACCCATCATATTCCTGATTGTGTTGTGGTCGACTGGATCATGCAGCAAACAGTAGGCAGCGAGAAGAGGAAGATACGCTAGAAGATACGCTAGCTGGACTGCGGAAAAGAACCTAGAAGATATGGATTTCGCCATTGATGACTTGTGCCTGATGTCACACAAACTTGAAGATCTACAGGCGAAAACTAACAAGTTGGCAGAAGAGGCAGGGCAGCGAAGACGGGACTTCAGGTGAATATAGAGAAGACAGAAGTGATGAAGATACCTAACCAACAACTCCAACAACAACAAAAAGCCCCAATCACCATCAACGGGAGAAACTTAAAGGAAGTAACCTCCTTCACCTATCTAGGAAGCACTGTTTCAACTACAGGCGGCACAGGCACAGACGAGGATGTCAAAGTCAGAATCGGAAAAGCAAGACAGGCGTTCATTAGCCTGAAATCAGTGTGGAGATCCACTTCACTGCACTCAGCACAAAGCGTGAATAAGATCAGGATTTTCAACACCAACGTCAAGTCAGTGCTTTTGTATGGTTCAGAGACTTGGCGCGTTGCGAAAGGGATTCCCAATAAACTACAGACATTCATCAACAACTGCTTACGCTGGCTCGCTATTGAAGATCAGATGGACAGAAAGAATAAGCAACAAGGAACTCTGGCCGGCAACGAACCAACCAAGAACCTATCACCCAACAGATATGCACTGGAAGGAAGTGGAGATGGATTGGGCATACACTGAGAAGGCCGACTGGGGATATCACGCCTCAGACCCTTGAGTGGAACCCCGATGGGAAGCGACGAGTTGGACATCCGTGGTGAGGGTGACATGGATGAGGTCGTGCGAGGAGGAAATGAGAGCTTGTGGGCAGTCGTGGAGCCAGGTTCAAAAGATTTCAGAGAAGAGAGTGGAATGGAGACGTGCTAGTGAAGCCCTATGTTCCATTGGGAACCCAAGGGACTAATAATAATACAATGGAAGTATTCATAAAAATCAAATTATAACGCTTATGACGTTTAAAATAAAGAAGTCAACTAGTATGTGGAGCGATTCAATGGGTGTTTAGATGCACTAAACCCCATTTCTATCATCTATATGTTACAAGCATGAAATTTAGTGTCATAGTAGTACTTCAACTCAATTTGTGATATACTCAAAAACAGCTCATGTTACTATTATTTGTCGGTTGGGTTCCTAGTGGAACATAGGGATTTAGTAGCACATCTCCATTCCACTCTCTTCTCTGCAGTCTTCTTAATCTGGCTCCACGACTGCCCATAAGCTTTCATTTCTTCCTCACATCATCTCCTCTATGTCACCCTCGATTCAGATGCCCAACTCGTTGTTTCCCATTCGGCTTCCACTCGACGGCTTGGCGTGTGATGTATCCAGACGGTCGTCTCACTGTATGTCCAATCTAATCCATCTCCACTTTCTTCTTCATACTTGTTAGGTGATAGGTTCCTGCCTTCGTTGCCCTGCCTCTTCTGCCAACTTGTTAGTTTTGGCCTGTAGATCTTTGAGTTTGTGTAACATTAGACACAAATTATCACCGACGAAATCCAAATCTTCTAGAGTCCTTTCATCTGTCCAGCCAGCCTATGCCCGTCTTCTCACTCCTCAAAGCTGTCTGTTGCATGATCCAGTCCAGTCGACTATAATCATGAAGATCATCGGTGATAGTAGATGGCAGCCTTGTCTTACCCCTCTCTTCACTTCAAAGACATCATTGAGCTATCCATTGTGAATCGTTTGGCGTGTAGTATCATATAGCATATAGCTGTTGAATGAGGTTGATGAAGGTTTGTGGCACTAGAATGACAGTGTTGAAGCAGTTGCCAAATTACTTCTTGGGCAGCTACTCGATTGAAGGTCTTCTTCAAAGTCAATGAAGTTCAGGTAGAGAGTTGACTGCCATTCTATGCTCTGTCCTATGATGATGCCTAGCGTAGCGTTGCAATTGGATCCGCGTATGATTTGTTTTTAATGATTTAAACCGGATTCTAGTATTCATTCTCAATTATAAGTACAAGGTTTTTATCAACTTCAGAATATCAATAATATTTAGTAACTGACAATTGTGGATAACTTTATTCCTGAAATATTTAGTTGACTTGATGTATCTTCTAATTACGTGTAACGGTTAGTTAGTTAATGGCTGTTCAAAACACTTTCTTCCTTCTATTCTCTAACTAAACCGAAAAAACTTCATGAATATCAAAGGAATAAAACAAAGCTGAATTGATAGTCTCTTGTAGAATGTGTTGGGTTGTCATGAATTGTTTGATGGCGTCTGCACCTCCACCCATTGATATGGAAAACGTTTTTATAACTTCATTCGCCTCAGATACAAACAAATAGGTGTATATGCTGATCTGTAGATTTTAGTGGATACACTTATTGGAAACAGAGTGTAAGAAAATCAAGAAAGACTTGTTAGTGATTTTCATCATATTGTGCAAACTTACAACTTAAACTGCTGTATCACTAGAAACAAACCAATTACTAAGAACAGTCTCCATGAGACCATATGGTCATGGTTTTGATCCTTAGCGAGAAC